TATATAGGCCCATAAATATATAAAACTCCCTCTTAATTTTGTTCTTAAAAAAAATCTTGCTTTTTCTCTCAGTATTTCCAAGCTTTAACTTTACTTTGAATAGATAGCTTACTTGTAATTTCTCCCAGGGAAGGCTGAAGGTGGTGATCCTGAACTTCTAGGAAAGACTCTGTGAGTGGATGAATTCCAGAGATTCTGAATATAGTTGGTTCGTTTGTGGTTGTGTTAAGGGAGAGAGAAAAGAGTTAGTCACAGTTCTATGGAAATTTGGAATTACATAGATCACAATGATTCTTCATACCGACTATGTAAATATCAAGATGTTTTCAGGCCTGACTCTTAAAAAATAATGACCAAGATATTGTTAAACTACAGTAGTTGTATTATGGCAATAATTCAGCAACTCTCTTTATATTTCTCTATTGTATCACACTATTTTCCCTGTCTAATAAGCAACTGATGATAAAGAATGGCTTATTATAGTGAAAATGCAAATGAAGGCTTTATTTCACCCTCTACTCCAAGTAGTAAACGACTCTTTTGTCTACAAGAATTAAATTTAAAATTTATTTTATGTGTTATGCATTGGGCTGCTAACCGAAATGTGAACAGTTCGACACCACCAGGTACCCTGCAGGAGAAAGGTGAGATTTTCTCCTCCCATAAAGAATTCACAGTCTTGGAAACCCACAGGGGCAGCTCCGCCTTGACCTATAGGGATGCCATGGGGTGGAAATGACTGGATGGCAGTGAGTTTTTTGAGGGGGGCGGGGAGGTGGGCCCGATTATCTAAGAAGCCCTGGTCCAATGGAGAAAAATGTGGCAATCTGCTTCCATAAATATTTACAGCATTGGAAACCCTATGGTGGAAGTATTACTATGTCTTATCGGGTCACAGGAAGTCTAAATTAACTCGATGACAATGGGTTAGGTTTGGTCCCGCTGTTTCAGTGTGTTTTTTTTTAAAAAAACATGTTCTCAGAAAATAGTTAACAAGAGAAACTGAAATATAGAATATTTAGGTTGAATAAATGTGGTTGCACCATCAAAACTGTCCCACATGCTGCAGAGAGTGTTGGAGAACAGTAAGTACCTTTAAATCAACTGATAAAGACTTGGTATTTAA